TTTTTTGTTTCGCCGGAAAAATGATAAGTGTAACAATAGAGCAACGAATTGTTGTGAAATTTCACGTGAAACTTGAAAAAACCGCTACTGAACTTATAATTTACCGCTACTTATAATTTATTGAAAGAAGTGTATGGCCATGAATGTTTATCGCGTGCACGTGTTTTTGAGTGGTTTAAGCGTTTCCAAGACGGCCGAGAAGACGTTGAAGATGATTCACGCCCGGGTCGCCCTTCCACGTGAAAAACGGATGACAATATCGAAACAATCGGTAATCTGGTTCGATCCGACCGTCGGTTAAATATTCGTGCGGTGAAACTGTAGGAATTGACAAAGAATGTGTATGGCAAATTGTGGAAAGACAAGTCATGGGTTCTCCACCAAGACAATGCGCCGACTCATTCCCCATTGTTTGTCAAGAGGTTTCTAGCCAAGTACAGCATCCCAGTGTTAGACCATCCGCCTTATTCGCCGGATCTTGCACCGTGCGACTTCTATCTGTTTCCTAAGGTGAAATCTGCATTAAAAGGAACAAGATTTGAGTCCGTTAAAGCTGTGAAAGAGAAAGCGACACGCGTCCTGAAGGAGCTGACAGAAGAAGACTTTCAGCACTGTTTCAAACAATGGAAGATTCGCATGGAGCGTTGTAGGGATAGAGGAGGGGTGTATATTGAAGGTGATAATAAGTAAATATGTATGAAATCAAAATAAAATGTTTTACAGCGCCAGTCTCGTTATTTAATAGCCACACCTCGTATAATGTTAATACATGCTTTATTATTTTATAGAAAGGTTTCTTTGAGAGAGATCGTGGGATATTCTTAAACAGTCTTTAGAGTAGATAGTCTATGTGACGCATAAAGGTATATAACGTGATTTATCTGTTGGTTTGATTGTTCAAATAAAGGAACTATATCCTCCTATAAAAGAGAAAAGAAATTTTCGGTTTTAAAATAAAGATAAAATAGGGATGAAATATCAAGTCTAAGATGAAATACTAACCTAGAGATAGGATAAAAATAAGGTATAAATTATATATTTATAATAAAGAAAGAGAGAATTTTATCGGGATGTAACAGGCCCTCCTCTTTTGAGATAATGGGTGACCTTTTGTCAATTTCAGTAACCATGACAGATATTGTCATGATCCTAAGTGACCTTCTATCAGCTTTTTAGACGTGTCTTTCCATAAAAACCTATTATTAAATAAAACTGATAATATAAATGTATATATAACTTTTCGTTTCTTTTCCAAATAGAATAAAGCAAAATTCTCTGCTTTGAAACAAAAATTCTCTCCTTTAAAACACCTATTCTTTGCTTTACAAATACAAATTCTCTAACTTAATCACGCGTTCATAATTTAGAAAGGTGTTTTGCACTTAAGCAGGGGGAGGATGGGTCCCTGCCCTGAATGAATCCTAAAATGTATGTGTGTGTGTGTGTGTGTGTCATCTGTAATACCGAACACAATTTTTGTATAACAGTTACCTCTTTCTCTCTGTTATTCATTCGAAATTCGTTCTTCAGGATTAAAGAATAAGCATTAATATATGTCTGCGAAGTAGAATCTAAATGTTAAGAACAACAAAAAGTTACGAAATTGAGATTTTCTTTAATATTTCTTAGTCCAATATGGTGCAAAAATTATATCACCTTTTGGTTTTTTAAGCATAATTTTTTTTAAATTACAGATCTCTATCAAATTATAATATGTTTTAATAATAGATATAGTTTACTGAACAAATAACTTCATCAAATAATAAAAACAACTTGTGAAAAGTTAATTTTATTTAAAATCTCTAAAATATGTCAAATTTCATAATAAATTTTTAATTACCATAACGAAAATAAATGTCTTCAAAACGAAAAAAAAATTCATATTTTAGATTGTACAATTCTAATATTATGTAGCAAAATCCTTGGAATCGATTACAGCTTGGCATGGAATCGATAAGTGCGTCAATTGTCGACTGAGAGATCTTGTTTCACTCTTCCTCCAATTGGATGAATTTTTCGGAATTTTCCGTATTTGTAGCTCGCTTACGAGCTACGTCTCTGACGAGTTCATCTCACAACGGTTCGATGATATTTAGGTCGGGCGATTGGCTTGGCCACTCTAAAAAAGTTACTCGATGCTGCCGAAACCACTTCCACACTTTAGTCGCGCGATGCTTTGGATCATTATCTTGCTGATATATAAAGTCACGACCAAGGAAACGCTTTGCGTACGAAAGCATCACATTCTCGACGATGTCTATGTATACTTTTTGATCCATTTTGCCGTCGATCTTATGAAGGGGACCTATTCCCTTTGCAGAAAAAGCATCCTACACCATGTCCGAACCACGTCCGTGTTTCATTGTAGGAAGTTGGTATTTGGGAAGCGCTTGCCTTTAGGATGAGGAATCCATGTTATTTCGTCAGTACCAAATAACAAAAACTTACTTTCATCGCTTCGGACGACAGAGGGCCACTGCTGAGGTGTCCAATTAAGATGAGCTTTCGCCCATTCCACTTGCATCTTCCGGGTCTTGGCGGAAATAAATAGCTTCTTTACGGGTCGTCCATGTAGTCCTGTGTCCTGCAGACGATAATGTATAGTCCGTATGGTTGGACTAGACTCACCAAAAATTAATTTCTTTGGCAATATCTGATGTCGTGGATTGCTGCGGGATATGCGGAGGATATTGCGATCAATGACAGAAAAAATACAACGCGATCGCCCGGTTTTCTTCTTCCTGACATAATTTCCCTGGGCCTTCCAACGCTTCAGCAATTTAGTTACTGCCGATTTAGAAATGTCAAACTGTTGTGTGAGCTCTTCGTGCGTTCGTCCTTATTTGCGGCCTTCTATAATAGCATTCTGCTGTCATTTGTCTATATCTCGAGCATCACGGGTTTTTGCCATAATGTGACAACACACTAAATTTACTGCCAAAATTAGGTTAAGACTGTAAGAACAATGGCTGCGACATGAAAAATAAAGAAAGCACAAAAGTGCGATTTTGCCAAAATCAATAAAAAATTCAAAAATCATGGCGTAACATTGTTAAATTTCATTACACTTCATATACAAAGTGCATCTACCATCAGGTATCTACTGTAAAATTTTGAGCGTATTTGATACTCTTTGACGAAAGTTATACTCAAAAAACCAAAAGGTGATATAATTTTTGCCGGTATTGTATATTAAATATTTAATTTTTATACTTAAGTGTTATTAATAATCTACAAATTGATATTATATTAGGTGTTGGAATTAATTCGTAGCGTTTTTTAATGAAAGAATGTTATTTATTTCACATGAGCATTAAAAAATACATTAATGAAAGTACTTCCCATCACTTGTAAAACGCTACGAATTAATTCCAACACCTAATACTTTTTATAATACATAATAACACTGTTTTTTTTTATTTGTTTTGTAAATATAAATTGCAAGGTAAAACAGACTAATTATTCGCAAATATAATAATTTCTCGTCTTTAAACTTCAAACTGTTCTAATCTAAAACTTTTTAAGTTTCAATTTCTATAGCAATTTCCAGACATTTGTTTTGTAATATTTATGTCGTAATATACAACAATATTGCATATTATAACATAAATATTACAAAAACAAATGTTTCGATTTTGCTACAAAAATTGAAACTTAAAAAGTTTTAGATTAGAACAGACCTCCAAACTTTAAAGACAAGAAATTATTTGTGAATAATTAACTATATTTTAGCTTGCAATTATATATTTACAAAAAGAACAGCATCATTATACATGATAAAAAGTATAATAATATCAATTTTTAGATTATTAATAAATATAATTTTTAAATGGAAAATTAAATGTTAAAAAAATTTATATTACAAATTTTGCTCTGAATGCTTTAAGTGATTATAGAAATAAAAAAAATTAAGTTAGTTTTATGGTAACTTGTTATTTTATATTTTGAACGCGTAAGATTCAAAATCATCCTGCAAGAAATTCTAGAACAATAATTTTGTTTAGTATTTAAATACTCTTTAAAATATTATAATACATATTCTGAAGATTTATATATGTATACGAAATATGTCCACATTATATAATTAATTGTACATAATTACGTAAATTTTTACATAATTTTGTATAGTGATGTTTTTATATATGAAATGTGATTATACAATATATGAAAAAAAATTTCTTTACCGGGAAACTATAAATAGACGAAAATTTAATTAAGTAAAAAATTGCAATTACTTATTATTTACTTAATAAGTAGGAAACATTTTTATAATTTTTTTATAATTTCGTAATTAAATATGTTTGTGATAGATCTTGGGATC